TCATCAGATATATAGTTCCAGAACATCACCTACGATATATACACCTGAGCGCAGTGCCTCTCTTCCGATAATAGATGCTCCGTTCTTGACTAGTAGTATTCTTCTGAACAAACTACCCAAGAAACTGTTAGGGTCCTGGAGTCGGATTTTGAAGAATAATGGAGACAAAAAGCCACCCTCAAAATGAAATGATTTGTTCACATTTTTAAAGAATGCAGAACGGAAGTAATTAGAGAACGTGATGTGTGGAACAAAGTGCTAAGGCATACCATAAAGGTTGCGAGCAAAATTGAAAAAAAAAAGAAAACTATGTATTCCAGTAAGAGTGATTTTTGGACAAAAATTGAGGGTTACATATTTCATCAAGAATTGGACAAAGGGAAGAAAATATTGTGTAAAGTGGAAGAACAAAAAATAGAAATTTACGATTTACCGTGGTGTTTTTAAATGATACGGGTGAATCGCTCAGTAACGTATTTCTCGGCGAGTCTATGCCATTGGTGGTTGTAGCGAGAATTCAGCAGGTCCTTGGTCAGGTTGAATTGAAATGCGGAGATCTTGAGCGGCTTTCATACATAATCAGATACATAATCTTCTCAGATGAATTAGGTGTGGAAATCTTAAGCGGCTGGATATATCTTCTCGAATAAATTGGGCGTCGTAATCTTGAGCAGTTGGGTGCACTTTCTCAGATGAATTGTGTGAGGTGATCTGGAGCGGCTTGTTTTAACACAAATTTATTGTTTCCCAAATTTGAAAATTCGCTGCCTTAGTAGATAGGTTGATAGACCTTGTTTCTAAGCAGAAGTGCACTGCTAAAATTTCTACGTCGATGATGAATTCAGAAGAATATGGAGATTGGCACTACTCTGGACAAATATTGGAGAACAACTGAACTGAGACTCTAGAGGCTGAGATTTCGATGAGGCTTGTGATGACGATCACCGATGGCTTGCGCCTTTATGGGTCAGACTCTGGGGTATTTGTATGATATGCGGGAACTATGGGAATAAAAAGACCCTTCGGTCTTAGAGTGTGCCTTGGTAAAGTGTGTTCCCTTGTGGAGTTTATAAGACGGTGCTCAACAAGCGAAGTTCAGTAGTTTTTTGTCCAATGCAGTTCTTTCTCTGTTTAACATCGATTTTCGATGTTTCTGCGAGAGTCCGTCAATATGCAATTAGTCAGTCTGTGAGGAACTGATTTAATAAAATAATAAATGAGGATAAAAATGAATGAATAAATATGTTGAAAATAATTTAATATCAGTTAGTGGTAAATCACCGATAAAATTTAACGAAAATAGCATACGTAATAAATTTATTACTGTGCATTATACCAGGCCAATCGTTCAAACTCCTCGCTGCACTAGTGATTCACCGAATACCACTAGATGGTCAAATATTTCCGCAAAGGAAATCTCGATGCAGAAGCATTAAGAGTGCGCTCGCGGCGCAGTCAGTCAGGGAAGAGAGGAGAGAAGGAGAGACTGGATCTCAGTGTACTGAACAGTGCACTTCGGACAGCCCTGGCTGTCCGTCGCAAAACTTTTGGACGCGATAGTGAGTAGCATTTGCTATAGTCCACTCTCGCATTAGGGCACTCCATTCGAGTTGCCGATTTAAATTAAATTGTCAATAGGCTGTTGGCTATAGTAGAGTCATTTGCAAGCAAGCTAGTTGCGGTAGAATCACAATCAGATCTTGCCTATAACCTACTGGTTGTAGCAGAGTGAAGAGGGATCCGGAACACTCGAAATTAGCTGCACGTCTGGAGTGGGACAACAATTAATTATGTTTACGCTCTGAAAAATGTTTGCTAAATTGAAAAGAGCTAAATTGTTAGTAATTTGTTTTATAATCATATCAGCAATGTTTAACTTATTATTAATATGTGGTGAATTATTTATGTATGTTTTAATCATAAAGATTTCAGTGGATCGGGCTAATCTCAGGGATGATGATAGTGTCTGAAATGTCCAGACAATTCTGTGGGATTCTTCTTTCTGTAATTATAAAAAATAGTAGCAGTCATAATGAAATGATAATTAAAATCATGTAACAGAAAATCTCGAAACCAAGGCAAAACCTCAGAAATAAGAAAACTAGAAATAGTAGATAATTAAGAAAATTTGTGCAAACCGCACAATATCGAAATAGAAATTTATTCTGGACAGTACATACAGGCTTTGATTGTCGGAAGAAAAACCCACGACTCCCGAAATTTATCCTGTCGTAGGAATAAAATCCTTTGAATACCGGAAAACCTTGATAAAAGTAAACCCTCGAAAAACAGTTAAACCTCGAAGCACTAGACAATTCAGATAAACAGTTAAACCTCGCTTAAAGAAAACCTTCGAAGTACAGTTAAAACCCTAGTAGTTAGTAGTAGAAAACCCTAAAGTTACAGATAAATGAAACCTCGAATTTTGAAGAAATCGGGAGTACAGATTTTACGGATTATGAATTTACTGTAAATGAATCGTGTAAGTCTCATCAATCGACCCTGGACAGCCGAAGCATTCGGCAAATGAGCAACATCTTTTAATTAAAATTATTAATTACACATCCGCGTAAAAGATTCATGACAAGTCATTATCATAAGGCGGGATTTCGTATGAGGGTAACGAAACTGCATTGGAAACAAATGATCTTATTGAAAGGTCGTTTGACTTGAATATTTTTGCAAGCTCTTCCCATACCACTGTACAATAATTGTACGTCCTTGTCAATAACGCTATCAATAATATTTTTAATACACTTCATGTTATCAGTGTACTGTGCAATCTATCTTGTGAACTTTTTCCTCTGCGAAATCAACAGAAAGACCTCAGAATTAATAAATGGATAAATTTTTTTATTTTACCTTATAAAAAACACTGTCACACAAAGATTATCACGTTTCTCACCAAAATGTTCTGTTTGTCCTTAGCTTCTTTCTGTGTCTGAGCATAAGTTTGAATTGATAGGTTCAATGATCTTTCGAATTTATCAAATTCGTCCACAGTTTTCAATGGGAGAGAGACCCCAAAAATGTAATTTCAGGAAGTGAACTCATGTGTTGATTGACCCACTTTGGCAACGGCCAATCCTTCGACTCTAGCTATAAAATCATAGTTCATACTTCTTCGGCATTTTCAATCTTGTTTCCCAGAATGTCCATGCCAAAATCAAATTTCGCAGCCAAAAAGTCGGTAACTGCACGTAGAATATTATCAATTTCTAGAACATAAACTGCTTAAAAAATTACCTAATTCAGGATCAGTGATTGCTTTACGAAGCTTCTCCAGTTGTACACCATGCTCTCTCCAACGAGTCTTAGTAGAGGCATCTGCATAATTGCAAATTCGAGACGGCATAAATTGGAAAAATAGAGTTTGAAAAGTTATAAAACAATTTTTTAAAATCATTATTACTTTTCACAAGAGATCCATACCCAGATAGATCAGAGTAACGTGACTTTGGGGTGGTGGAAGATATATCCCTGTAGGTATTCTCTTTTGAACATCTTCCATCTTTCTAGCTTATTTTTTATTTCTGGCAAAATTTCTGCTGGATTATGAGAGAGACCTGATCCTACTCGAATTTGAGGGCTAATTTTCTGTGCACTTCCGTTTAAGTAAGAGAAATGGTTGGCCTTGAACGCACTGCTTTTTGGGGTTTTGTCGCAATGATTGGACGGACTCGAGGAGCGTTGGCGTGTCCTATTTAGCTTTAAAACACAAACAAGTTGGAAAAAAACACGCAGTGTGTGAGCGAATTTCTAGATAAATAAAGTCGAAAATCATACTGTTTTTTTTTCAATAGCAGCGAATCATTTTCTGGGGTCGAGGTTGAATCATCACAGTGTTCAGGTTTTTCATCTCGTCGTGCCTTGGAAATCTCAATTTCTAACTCACATGGCTCAAAATTGATAATGTATTACTATCTGTCTCCTCTGTAGCTCCCCTATTTTCTGGTTCTTGTTCATCATCACTAGCACTATGTCTAAATGTACTTAAACTATCACCATCACTGGATTCACAACTATGAGATTCTTCTGGTTGACAAAATCGATGATTAACTCCATAATTTTCTACATTAACTTCAAGAAATCCACGCCCATCATCGGCATTTAAGAGCATATCAGCACCGTTATTAACATATTCTCATCACTCATTCGGCATAACTCACAGAATCATTCTGACGCATTTCACTCATTTTTTCACTCGTGGATACGACGAACATCTACGTGTATCCATTCTCTACTTATCTGTTTTAATAGTTGTATACAAATAACTTAATTTAGATTTAGACAACTCATCGTATTTCACATGGCTAAATTATTCAAGTAGTGTGTGTGTCATAGCGCGTTTTGATAGTTTCAAATTTGACGCCTACACTTTAGTGAAAATTGAGCGGTCAAAGTTAGAAATCATTCATTTTCTACGTCTAAAGTCAACTCAGATGAAATTAAGTGGTGTCGGATGGTATGACCTTACCCGATCTTTCACCAAACTGTCCCAGTACCTACACAGTACTGGTAATGCTCTATCCGTACTTCCCTCTAACTAACATCCGTCCGCTGAAGACGAGACCAAAGATATCCTCTCCATACACCTAATCATTTTTATCACTTATGGCTTGGCCGATACTGCAATTTTATTGCTCAACATATAAAAAATTTGGAATGTTTGGAAACCCATGAAAAAAAATTGAATCGTTTTTTGTTCAATGACTGCAGACACTACAGTGAATTGTATCATTTTTGACTTCATCTGCACTACTATCTATTTTTTGTGAATATCTCTGCATTCGATACGACTGAATAGAAATGTTCGCAATTAAAAATTCCAAAAGAACAATTTAAATGATGGATGAATTCACATTGGATTAAAAAAAAATATGTAAAAATATTGTTTTGGGGATAAATATCGAGAGTTCAAAAAAAAAGATCAATACTTTGCCAAGAAATATGATATTGTATAGTTTAAATAATTCGGAAATTTAATGTGTGGATTTCAGAAAAAAGTTGGAGAAACAAATTCAGGAACAATTAGAAGAAAAAGCAAGAGTACATGCGATCCAAATGCGAGAATTTTTGAGAGGCCGGAACCCTGCATGGAGAGCTCTCCGGTATGCTTCCAGGTATATTTACGATTTTATTTTCTACCCCACAATTATGCATTAGTTCGCTTGTCAAATACTAACGAAAAAAAAATATTCGCCCTTTTTGGAAAATATCTTGTAAGTAATTTCCGTCATACCTACACGGAAAGTTCGATTTTACTCAGTCAAATGACTGGAAGAAAGTGGCCTATTCGATCCCCCAGATTCCTCTTGTTTTTGAAGATCTTCGTCATGACATAACCTATATTCCTCCCATCATTTACGAAGAAAAATCGAACTTTTCCTTGTAGTGATGACGGAAAGAATAATTCGCAGCGAGGAAAGAAAACAGGACATTCAAATCCGCGTGTTTACGATCATCGGCTTCGCCTCAAGCCGGTGATATACACGCGTATTAGAATCCTCTGTTTTCTGCACGGAGAGAAAAATTCTTTAAAAATTACGTGCCTGTTCCGCAACGTGCCAGTTACAATAGTATTCGGTAAAAATTACGGAACAGTTACGCATTTTTTCACTCAACGTTCCGTACTTTTTTCTGAACGTTCTGAACTTTTTTCGGCAAGTCCACTGAAAAAGTCTGTTCCCTTGGTGCACAATATACTAGTATTTCCCATATTTCCATCGTAAATCTCAGTCATAGTTTTTTCTTGTTATATCCTATTTTCTGGTAGAAACGAACGAACAAGTGACTTGGACTACAGGGCGTCATTACGAAGAGAAGAATCTAAAGGACAGGCTGACCATTATCGGATGGAAATGGAATTAATGTTGAATCGTGTGAGACAGATTCCTACGCTCTTTGAACGTTATTCGCAGGTTTAACAAATTTTATTTTTGTTTATGGTGCATGAACAATTAATATATAGATTATATTGGTTAAACCGTCTCATTCTTAATGAATCTGATGACTGTAATTGGAAGTAATCAGATTTCTAAGTTGCAATCAGGTGCCCACCTCAATATTTATATTTTTTCAATAAAGAAATATGTCACATTTCAAATTCGGTGTGACTATTTCCATCAGAGATGGTGAGATATCTGTATGGGTTCCATTATATACAGCTAAAGTTTTTCATGTCCGGATCGGGTCCACTAAAGCTGTAACGATGTTTTCCCCGGAGTGTTCCGTAAGTCCGGGGAATCGGTTACCTTCGTCGGTTCCGTAGCATCCGCGAATTTACCGGGAAGGCGCCAGCTATTTTAAGGGGGTAAAATAGCAAACCAGAGAGCCGCCTAGTTGTTAAGGATACAATTAGGAAATACCATTCAAGCCGCCTAGTTGTTGAGGGCACAATTAGGAAAGACCGAAGATGCCGGTGGAGGTGGGGGTTAGCACCTCCCCAAAAATAGCCGATAACACATACGGACGAGAGCACAGAACGGTGGGATTCGCCCGTTCTCGCGACAAGACAGACAATAAGATCCGGATGTAATGTTAGAACGCGTGCGGGAGCACTGGGTATCAGTATGCTAGGTTATGGAGAGAGGGTCGGGGTTCTTTAGTGTGGTCGGTCCCCGATAGCGTCGGGAAGTTGGTAGGGTAGGGCGGTCGATAGCAGATCAGGTCGATAGAGGTGAGAGCGATCGGTAATTAGATAGCGGTAGAACGCCGATAGCTGCCAATATGCGCTAGCATATTGGCAGCTATCTCGCTAGCGAGAGCTCTAGGTATAGGCATACCTCCTACTATAGTTCGTTAGCTCAGCCTCATGGCTGTAAGAGAGATAGCGCTAGGTAAAGCGATAGGGCGGGCTATATAGCCATGCTAATCACCGAGAGCTACGGGTTGTTAGAGCCCGGGGCCGAGTGGCCCGTGAGAGTCGGAGCAAATCTGCCGTGTGGAGTGGAGAGTGCTTCCTAGTAGCTCTGCTCCCCACTCCCGACTCACGCGGCTGGAGTGCGTGGGGGATCGTCCGTGGTTCTTATCACCACCGCGAGGATATCCCTGCCGGTAACGTTTCCTGGAGCGCGGCGAATTCAAGTGTCCCCAACCAGGCTGTCCAGTTAACTCCTTATCTGGACCCCTGGTCATTTGAATGCCCACCCCGTCTAACGTGGAACAGTTCTCTGGAGTGGAGAACCAAGTATTCCGACAGAGGAGTCTCATTGGGATCTGAGGTTCACTACTATAACCTCAACTCCCCATGCGTAGGGAATTAGCAGATCCAATCGATGCGGCAGAGAGCGTGATTTATCCCAGTAAATATTTTCCATTATTATGAACGCGAAAATCGCGTTACAAAGCAGACGTGAAGTTGACGGTTTCCCTTGTATTCATTAGCGCCACAGAAATATCACTTGTAAACATCCCGTTGTAGCCTTGCTACAATTATCTACCCGCGGTAGTGTTTCTACATTACCTGCGATGCCCAGATCATACTTCCGTACGACTACCAGAGTGGGGAGCACTTGGGACTACGTCACACGACGCTTCTCCCACTCTTCACTGGCAGCTATTTAAGCACCTACGCGAGTTATCTCAGCTCAGTTCGTGCTCGGTCCTGCCTTGAGCGCGGAACTACCGGGCTAGATATTTAGGTCCTTTAACCTTTCCTTTTAGCGATCCTACACACTCTGTACGGTCTGGACATTCTCTGCTTTCTCAGGATTGAGAACTGGCCTTTCCGCTGTACAACACTGTGCACTCACCGCTATCGGTTCTCCTCCTATTCCTCGACGGAGAGACGGTTGCTCTCTTTTCGTTTCTCCCCTTTACAGGGTTGAGAAATTATATTGAAAATCGCTATCTGCGCTTTAGACGCAAGTCAAAGACGTGTCTCTCTGAGACATAATTTGTATTGTTAGCTCTCTCTCGACTGGCTCTACCCAGTCGGCTCGCTACACTGTAACTTTAAATATCCCCAGATACATCTACGTGGATCTATACGTCATATACACATATGCATATGTTTTTTTTATGATTTAAACGCTAAATGGTTGTATATATATATTATATATATATATATATATATATATACATATACTAC